TTTGACCTGCTTTTTGTGTACAGGACATACGTGGACAATTTTCCACATTGTCAAATAGATGCCAGAGTTGTTAATTGTATGGGAGTAGCTTGGCTAGGGAGCAGCAAGTTCTGGAGCACAAGTTTCTAGTGCTATTGCCAGAATGTTGTCAGGCCCACAGCCTTTCAGTATCTAGCACCTCCAGCTGTTTCTTGTTATCATGTGGAGTGAACTGAATTGACTGAAGACATGGAACATATGCTGGTGGGAACATCTGGAGGAGGGCGAAATGTAGCATCCATTGGCACTTCTGGCTGACGATTGCTGTGAATACTTCAGCCTTGTCTTTACACTGATGTGCTGGGCTCCCCCATCATTGAGGATGAGGATGTTTGTGGATCCTCCTCCTCCAGTGTGTTGTCTAATTGATCACCATCACTCACAACTGGATGTGGCAAGACTGCCGAGCTTAAATCTGATCCATTCATTATGGAATCACTTACTTTTTCTGTTGTTTGGCATACAAGTATTCCAGTTTGGTAGCCTCACCAGGGTGAGGCTTCATTTTTAGATATGCTTGGTGCTGCTCTTGGCATGCCTTCCTGCATTCTTCATTGAACCATGGTTGATCTCCTGACTTGATGGCATGGTAGAGTGGAAGATATGTCAAGCCATGAGGCTACAGCTTGTGTTGAAGTTCAATTTTGTTGCTGCTGATGGCCCCCAGTGTCTCATGGATGCCCAGTCTTGAGTAGCTACATCTGTTTGCAGTCTGTCCCATTTAGCACCATGATATCACCAACAACACAATGGAGGGTATTCTCAATGTGAACGCAGGACTTCATCTCCACAAGGACTGTGAGGTGATCACTCTTCCCAATATTGTCATGGGCAGATGCATCTGAAGCAAGCAGATTGGTGAGAATGGGTCAAGTATGTTTTTCCATCTTGTTCATTCCCTCACCACCTTCCACAGTTGCATTCTTGCAACTATGTCTTTTGGATTCAACTAACTCAATCAGTAGCTCTGCTGTCAAGCCATTTTGAAATCCCCTACCCAGAGTACACTATGTGCCTTTGCCACCCTCAGTGTGTGGTGTTCAACACAGAGGAGTCCTGATTCATCAACCAAGGGGAGACAATAGGTGTTAATAAGCAGGAGGTTTCCTTGCCCACATTTAATCTGATGCCATGAGACTTCATAGAGTTCAGAGTCAATGTTGAGGACTCCCAGGGCAGCTCCCTCCTGACTTTGTACCACTGCACTGCCACCTTGTTGGATTTGTCTTGCCGGTGGGATAGGGCATACACTGGGGTGATGATGTCTGGAACATTGTCTGTAAGGTACAATTCTGTGAATATGATGATTTTAGACTATGTCAGTTGTTTGACTAGTCTGTGAGACAGCTCTCCTAATTTTGGCACAGCCCCCAGATGTTGGTAAGGTGGACTTTGCAGGGTTGACAGGGCTCTGTTTGCCATTCCTGCTAATTAACAATCTTGTTTTGAAGAACCTTTTGGGATGAGTTACCACAATATGACAGAATTTTACATTATGTTTGAAAGTGATTTTGTTCATTGTGAAGCACAGGTATTAAATTTGGTTAAGGCATGAGGCAGAAATCAGCTGAGGTGAATTGGGAAAATACATTAAAAGCCATGACTACAAAGGCAATGGATAGCCTTTAAAGAACTATGACATGACTTAAAGCAACTATACATTCCTTCAAGGTGCAAAAACTCAAAAAAGGTCAGTCAAGCATGGCTAACAAAGGGAGTTTAGGACTGTATAAGATTAAAACAAAAGGCCTCTGAAGTTGCCAGAAGTAGCAGTAAATCTGAGGATTGGGAGGCTTATAGAATACAACAACAGAGGACAAAGAAACTGAGAAGAGAGAATAGAACATAAATGCAATCTAGCAAAAAACCAAAGTAGACTCTTAAAGCTTCTACAGGCGTGTAAAAATGAACAGTTTGGCTAAAATGAATGCAGGTCCATTACATGCAGAGTCAGGGGAATTTATAATGGGGAATAGAGAAATGAAGCTAAGCTAAATAATTACTTTGTGTCTGTTTTCACAGAGGAAGATGTCTGAAATCTTCACAACTAGAGATCCAAGCAGCTAGGGAGAATGAGGACTTGAAGGAAATTAGCATTAACAAGAACACTGTACCAAATAAATTAAAGAGGCTGAAAATTCATAAATCCCAGGACCTGACAGTTTCTATCCCAGAGGGTTGAAGGAAGCGGCTATAGATAGTCGACGTGTTGGTGTTATCTTCCAAAATTCTATAGATTCTGGAATGATTCTTGCCGATTGGAAGGGAGCAAATGTCACTCCACTATTTAAGAGGGGAGTGAGAGAGATAACAGGGGACTATAGACCTGAGAGCCTTACATCAGTAGAAGGGAAAATGCTAGAATCTATTCTAACGGATGGGATAAATAGACACTTGGATGGTAATGATCTGATTGGGCATGGTCAGCATGGTTTTGCAAATGGGAAACTGTGTTTAATCACATAGTTAAAGCTTTTGAATACAGGTATATTACATATAGATTTTCAGAAAGCTATTTGATTATCTATTCAGCAATAGTAGGCCTAGAGTTGGGAACAGATGATGTGGAAATAAGTGAGAATGTGTCTTGTGAGGAAGATGCTTCAGAAGGATTTGGACTGGCTTAGTGAATAGAACACGGCAGATAGAATAAATTATGCAAAAATGTGAGAATATCCATTTTGAATGCTGATGAATAGATGTGCTGAATATTTTTTAAATAGTGAGAGGTTGCAAAGTATAGATCTGCAAAGTGACCTAGATATCATCAATACAATTTGGAGCTGGAGGAACACAGCAGGTCAGGCAGCATCAGAGGAGCAGGAAAGTCAATGTTTCAGGTTTACACCCTTCATCAGACTTCAACAGACAGAGGGGCCGGCAACTTTGAAGTGGGTTTTTGGAGTGTGTTTCTTGGACAAGGAGTTTGGCTGTTGATGTTACAACATGAAGATTTGAAAGCTCCATGCCTGACCTCCCATTATCAGCCACTGGAAGTTCAGAAAACAGAAATTGAGTTTTCAGTATTAAAGAAGAAAAAGTAAGCACAGCTGTACAAAATTTTAATTAGGTCATGTTTGGAATATTGCATGCAGTTCTATGCTACCAGAAGGATTTGGATGCTTTGGAGAGAGTGCAGAGAAGGTTTACCAGAATGTTACCTGGTCTGGAGGGTTTAAATTACGAAGAGAGGTTGGATAAACTCAGATTGTTTGCATTGGGAAGACAGAGGCGGAGGGGTGGCCTCATAGAGGTCTACAAAGTTATGAGAGGCATAGATAGGATGGATAGTCAGAGGCTTTTTGCCAGAATGGAAAGGTCAACTACATGAGGGCATAGGTTCAAGGCGAGAGGAGGCAAGTTTTGGGGAGAAGTTCAGGGAAAATTTTTCAGCCAGAGAGTGGTGGGTACTTGAAACGCACTGCCAGTGAAGGTGGTGGAAGCAGGCACGTTAGCAATGTTTAAGGTGTATATTGATAGACACACGGGAGGCGATGAGAGGAATAGAAACCGTGCAATAAGCAGCAGGTCTAAATAAGAATCAGCACAGCAAAAGGGCCTATTCCTGTGCTGTACTGAATTGTATTGTATTGTATAAGGGGGATGTCACTTTGACCAGGAGAAATATTTCTACTTGGAGGGTTGTGAACCTTTGAAATTCTCTACCAGAAAGGGATGTGGAAGGTCAGTCTTTGACTATATTTATGGTAGAGATTGATAGATTTCTGATTACCAGTGACATACAGGATTGTGGGGATAGGGTGGTTAAAAGGCATTGAAGTATTCGATCAGCCATGACCATATTGAACAATGGGGAAAGCTCGACATGCTGAATGGCCTACTTCTGTTTCTGTGTTCCTATGGATGAAATAATCCCAACATACAGCTCACTTGAGGGCAAAGTTCTGGAGAAATGCTGGCACCTGCACCAGAAAATTAGGTGTCAAGGAAGAAAAACGATGTCTTATCATATTTTCATTATACATCACTACCAAAAAAAGAGAAAAAAAAAGTTATTTCACAAAAATGCACAGATGCATGTGTTATTGGTCCAAATGAAAAACAGAACAATTTATGTTGTTGAAGCTGCCTGGCTGAAAAATCATTTCCTGTCACATTCAGCAGAGTGTATTATCTGGAACCTGATTGAGCTTCCTCTTCCCTCAATTCTTTGTAATGGCTAAACACAGAAAGGGTGTTTGAAAGAACTCAAGTTAAATAATAGTTGTGATTACATTTTTATTAATGTAGGGAAGCAATCCTCATGTTGTTTCTTGCTGTTGAGTGTTTTTTTTTCTAATTAATCCAGTTAAGCCATTATGCTGGAGAACCCATCAACTATCCCATCCATATATAAGTTTCAATAAAATACTTCTGAAAGAACCAGGAAGAAATTATATTCACTAGCTTTCACTGGTATCTAATGCTTTTTGTTTCCCATCTTCTCCCTCATCCCATCTCACCTCCCCTTAAAAGCTTTTGCTGGTATAGGTCTCCACAAATGCAACTCTGCATCTACTGTAGGAAACTGGCTATTCTTTATATTTCAGATCTAATTCTCCATATTCAAAACGTAGGATAGTCACTAGTAAGGATCTGAAATCCTGGGTGCTAATGATCTTCGCAACTCCACGGTTGATGGGGTCAATTATAGGAATGTCCACTGCTTCCACACCACGCCCCCCACCTTCCCCTTAATCTGATGGTTTCTCATCTGTATGACCAAGTACACCACCCCACTGGCACTTGTCCATTGAGCCAATTTAGAAAGCTCAGTGTATTTGCCAGTTTTTAAGTTCCAACATTTACATTACATGGAACAAGTAGGATGTAAGAAATGTATGAAAAGTGGGTCGCTCTTAGAGCACGAACACAACTGGCCAAATGGCCTCCTGTGCTGTAACCAATGTAGAAATAGAGATAAGTTTGCAAGATGTGTTAGTAAGTTATGCCCCACCAACCTGGTCTGCAGCTACACTAGGGCGACGACGGCACCGTGAAAACTGCCCAAAGCCTCATCCGTCGATAGCACCAAAATGGCTGAAGTCTATAGCGCTCCTTCATTCCCGCGCGAGGTTGAGCGAGATCGCTCGGCGAGGGCGACACAAAGGCGGGATTGTCCACGTGAGTCTGTGGCTACTTTAAATCCAACTTCGGTTAGAGTTGTGTGCATTGCTGTGTGGAGAATTAGGGGTTGGATGTGGGAGAACACCTGGTGAAACCCCCAAATTCTTTATGCAATCGTTGTTTAAACAAGGAGTATTTAAAACTGATTATTTTTCAGAAATTTTTTTATGAGATCAGTTGACAATTTCAGTCAATATTTTTATTTCTAGATTTCTATTTTATACTTTTCGGTTTCTGAACGGTGAGTTTCCGTACGTTTTTTAAACATTAAGATTTTCAAATTGACTTGTATGATGAACTAATTTGTTATATTTTTGCAGTTTCTGAATTTTTCTCGAGTTGGTAAGTTTTTTTTTATAATTTCGTGCGTCGTGGTATTGAAGTACCTTTCTTGATAACAACACACTATAATCAAAACTCAAGATACTATAACTGTCATTGTTAAATATAATCTGATGAATGAAAATCTGAGACAATTACCAGCAGTGTTAGTGTATCCATGTGTTGCTTGGATTCATTGTTACATCATGGTGATGTAAATGACCCAAAAAGATCACCAGGCCCTGTGTTGACTTTCCCAAGCACGGGAGTTCAATCTAGCTAATTACAATTGCACAAGTCTTGACTGTACTGTTTGGCTCTGATGCCTTTTAAGCACAGTTGCCAATTTCCACTTGAACCTCATGAATTCTGTGTGCTGTCCCAAATTAGTTTGTTTTGCCAAGATAGGAAGAAATATCTACATTACTAGGAATGCAAGTTTATTGTC